TATATTGCCCATATTTTAATGTTTACTGTTTCATTGAAGCAAGTATATGGCAACTGTTCCAATTATCTTCTACTGGGGGGGAAACATAATTCGGGATCCCGATGAAGGTGCATCATATGATGCTGAGCCGAAAGGGATATATAGGGTGCAACTTGGCACCACACTTAGCAATTTGGAGGAGATGTTTATGTCCAAGATGGCAAGTTATGGGGAAACAGTCCGATTGATCTTCAAATGCAGATATCCTTATCGCCAGTGGCAAGCAACCAGCAAATACAAAATATTACCGATCAATGACGATGAGGCGTTGAACACCGTATTAACTATCGGTGGAAGTTTCCAACCACCAAATTGTTTGGAAGTGTACATTGAGAAACAGGTTGTACAAAATCTTCCGAATATAACACAGATGGATTCTCATCCGTTCACTACATTGCTGACACATGGGATTGACACGACAGCGTTTCAGTCTCGTATGTATGAATCGAATGAATGATGTGACTTGGTGCACAGGCTTTGGTTTTATCGATTTTTTGCTTGATTTTTTTATTACAGTGATTCTCAATTCAGAAAGTCACATGCCAACAGTGAATTAACTTATTTACCTTACAGTGAGCATGCCCTTATTTTGTCGGTATATGCAGATGGATTGTCAAGTCACGTGACTTCGTACACAGTATTTTCTTTTCTCTGTTTTTTCAGTCTAGTGACACTCATACCTTGTTCATATATGTGGGATTGTGATGCAGAGGCATCTTTGTAAAGCCGTTCATAACCAACTATATAAACGGCTAAAGGTGAAGACACAACCTTACAACTCAAGGTGAAGACACAACCTTACAACTCAAGGTGAAGACACAACCTTACAACTCAAGGTGAAGACACAACCTTACAACTCAAGGTGAAGACACAACCTTACAACTCAAGGTGAAGACACAACCTTACAACTCAAGGTGAAGACACAACCTTACAACTCAAGGTGAAGACACAACCTTACAACTCAAGGTGAAGACACAACCTTACAACTCATTTCGCCCTACGAAATTATCATTCATTTGTTTTAAAAAATTAGCATGGCTACATGGTTCATAGGAGGGAGTGGGGGTCGCAGAGGTGGTAGGAACTTGCAAAGGGGTGAAAGTTCACGACGAGGAGGGGGAAGGGGAAGTGGCGATGCTGAAGATGAAACACCATTTGCTTCGTTAGATGCCTCTTGTGCTTATCATGATAGGTTTGGAAAGCGACATTTTGTCATTCCCAAGTATTATCGAGATCCATGTGGTTTGGTGGAGGAACCATCAGATAATCAAACAGGATATGGTTTAGCAAACGCTAGACTTCTGAAGTGGCCCGCACTATTTATAGAGCGAGTCCAAATGGAAAGATTATGTCGCGAAAATGGATTGAAGGTGCCAAAAGCACGTTCTGTTGAGATCCAAAAGGAAGATCCTGATAATGTTGATCGACTATGTGAAAGACTACAACGTGAGATTTCTCAAATGAACCGTAGGTTAGCCCGCGATATGCAGCTATACATAGTTAAGAAGGATGCCCAGAAGAACAAAACAGAACCAAATGATGCAGCTATCAAGGGTATCATGGAGGATCCTCAGCTTGTCTCTGATGCTGAGCTTTCGGATTGTTCAGACTCTGAGCCACCTGCCGATTTAAGCGCGAATTAGGTGTTAATGTCTACACTTCGGCAATATAACAACTTGCATTAATATGTAATGTCTGTGTTAGAGTAAGTATAACTGTTATGTTACGTTATGTTTATGTATTGTGTCTGTCAAATGTTACGGCTATTAATATGCAATATTAGGTCATGAATTAGGTGTTTGTCTGTCTAACTGTTATGTTTATGTATTGTGTGTTCAGTTCAGGGTGTCCAGGATATATGTAATGTGTGTTCAGTTCATGGTGTTCAGAATGTCTTTTTGTGGGAGAATTATGTCTGTACTACCTATGTAACTGGAAACTATTACATTTGCAACTTCAGTTATGTTGTTTTCATGCCTGTATGAGTATTTAGTAAATTAGTGACTTCGTATATTATGTGTTAAGTATTATTACAAAATTGTTGACAAAATTTATTTTAGGAGCTCTCGCTGTGGCCTTCGTCTTCTTGGCCTACTCCACGGTGGTCTTCGCGTCTCACCCTTCTATCCTCCTTGAGTTTGCGGGGGGCTGTTAGAATTTCCCATCTTTACCTTCACCTACTCCACTACACACTCCACTTCACGTAACCCACTATCACCTCCACTACACCTACTACCACATTTTCTTCTATATATAGATTGTATAGGAATTGTAATTAATCAATCTTGTAATCTATCAATCAAGATATCAATCAATAATACATAAATTCTTAAAGAAAGATAAATTATTATAAATTTCTTTTGAGGAGTGAGCTGTTGGTATTTATTATAAATTGCTTTTGCTAGTGGTAGGGCCCACCAGCACTATTCACTTCAAAATTGTGGAATGGTGATATTGTATGGGTAATGGGCAATGTGATTTGGAGTGGGGCTATCCGTGGATGAAGGCTACTCTGCCAGTTTACAGTGCCATCAGGGAACCACAATGCAATCTCTTTCCTAGCACTCTCAACCGAATCACTTCCATGAATGACATTCCTGCCAATCTCAACAGCAAAATCACCACAGATTGTGCCAGGAGCCGACTCTGATGGGTTAGTGGCACCAATAATCTTCCGTCCCGTGGCAACCACATCTTTACCTTCCCATACCATGGCAACCACAGAACCAGAGACAATATACTCAACCAGGCCATTGAAGAATGGCTTTGCTGACAAATCCTCATAGTGCTTCTCGGCAAAAGCCCTCTCCACATTCATAAGCTTCAAACCTTTCAAAGAGAAACCCTTCTTCTCAAATCGGCAAATAATCTCACCAACCAAGCCTCGCTGGACGCCATCGGGTTTGATCATGATAAAAGTCTGCTCCATTTTCGCTGATTCGCTCGCTCTCTCTCTCTCTCTCTGTAGCTTCGGCTGTGCAATTTTCTAAGGGAGCGAGAGAGAGAGGTAAAAAGAGTGAAGGTACCAGTGCCTGGAAGTTGCGACGACGGCCGGCGTACTAACATCGATGGTCTTCAGTGATGAGCTGGGCTAGTGATAGCGTGAGCTGGTGGCGCAAGGTAGCAGCGGCAGCGGTGTTGGAAATGAGTTGGTGTCGGTGTATGTGTAGAGTTTGTCAATAGTGAGGAGAGGAAGATGAAGTTACAACAGTATTCTTCAAGCAGTATTCTTCAAGAGGGGTTTAGTAGCAGCGGAGTCAGGGTATGTGTAGAGGTCCGGCGGGCGGCCAAGGCGAGGCTGCCGCCCGCCGGTGAAGCAAAATGACTAGGTTCTTAACCTTGCTCTGATACCATGTTAACATTCAATGTATAAAAAGAAGTAGAGAATTGTATTATTGATTGATGTTATGTTTACAATGAGTCCTATATATAGAAGATTAGAGGAGGTAAGTATGTAGTAGGTGGAGTAGGTGAAGTGGGTGGAGTAAGTGTAGTGGTAGGTGTTGGTAAATTTTAACACTATAAGAGCAGTCCATGTTCCACCATTAGCACAAGATCTTATATCCATTCCAGCTCAGCCAATTTGTGGAGATCCGTTTGTTGCTCATCAGTACAACTTAATCATAATGCAGACTTCTTGTAATATTATTTGGCTTGAGGAAGTCCTTCATCACTTGCATGCCATCTGGGCTAGGGGAGTCCTTCGCTAGCATGATCTACAACTTCTGGAGTATCTTTCTTATCATTATTCTCTGGGGATAATTTTTTTTCAGCCAACGAGAAATGATGGGTTAACAGAAACGAGTTGGATAAAAGAGAAATTAAACATTTTATAATTTTATTTATTTGTGAGGCTTAATTTAATTAAGAGTTTTATTTGGGTAGTGTTCTATTTTTGGTAACCTTAATTAGGTTTTTCTGCTTTGCCTATATATATGGCTAAATGTAATAGTTTTAGGTTAGCTTTGGAATATTGATAGTTGAGCATAAGGTTGTGGCTGTTTTTTGTGAGATTAGGGTTTCAACTCTTGTGTTCTTCTCTCTTCTTATTCTTCTTTTAACTTCTAATTTTCTCTTTCAGATCAAGTCTCCATTTATTCTGCTTTTGAGATCAATCGAGTAGTTGAACAGATTTCTTAATAGCCGTTCTATGTCACTTGGCCCCTAAGTTTTTATTAGTTCAGCCAAAAGTTTTGAAATAACTTGGACCCCTAAAACAAAAACCCATGCCTTTGGAAAGTAAATGCATGAAATAAAAGCCATTAACCTCATCCAATTATAAACTTAATTAAAAATTCTTAAAATGACTATGGAATAAAGTCAATTTTTTTATAAAAAAAATCATTTTTTCTTTATTTATTTACTATTATTTTCTATTTTCTTATCAATGCAATTGATTTCTACGGAACCAAAACACCATCAATTTTATTTGCATTATTGCCCACATGCTGGCAAAAACTTGACCTCGAGCTTTGTAATTATGGTGCACATATTCCCAATCTTCAAATTTATCTTTAGAGTAGGAGTTATAGCTTGTAATTGATGTTGGAGGCAATAGCAGTAATAGAATGTGTCACTTCACTTGCATTTCTGATTTTTCAAGAACTATGGTGCAGTTTTGCAGCTGGAAAGATCATTAATTTTCCCAAACATAGAAGTCAACTGAGTTTGCATCCAGTGTTTGACTTCCTTATTATGGTGTAATGTAAATCATGCTATTTATACTTGCATTAATAAAAAATGGTGTTCCTTTAACATCGCCTTGCTGCTCAAATGACAAATTCACTATAATCTTCATCATATTGTTCTTTTTGGAACTCTAGGAAATCATTAATCACACTTTCAATTTTCAATGTACTGCGTCTTCTTACCATAATCTTTTGTATAGTTGCATTGCATTATATTTGGTAGGTCACCATGATCTTGGATGTTTGCTTTGATGGTTTCTTGTTATTTGACAGATAAAGCCACTTTCCGTCAGATATGGCCTAGGCATATCAGATCACGATAGTGAAGGACGGCTTGTGACTGTGGAGTTTGACACATATTATTTGATAGGTGCATATGTCCCTAATTCTGGAGATGGTCTAAAACGACTGGTAATTGACCCAATACACCTTTCAATATGTTTCCTGGTTTTCCATTCTTCAGAGTGTGGCGCGCACACACACTTGCTTTTTCAGATAATTGAGTTTTGAGAGGAAACATTTTTTATTAAAAAATGAATATTAAACTTTGTTGACGTTTCTCTACCTTTGATACTAGTCATACAGGGTTACAGAATGGGATCCATCTCTCAGCAATTACATGAAAGTAAGCCTAATTTTCTTTGTTGCTTCTCTACTAAACTACATTGTTACACACAAAGCAGCTAATTGCATTATATTTCTTTCTTCATGGGTTGCTATTTTTTAGCCCATTGTAGAGAATTTTCTTATTTAACTTCTTGTGCTATATAATCGGAATTATTCATTATTCCAACAATTGGATAGTTTACCCAGTATTTTTCAAGAAAATCATCACTAGAACAAAGTGTCGGCATATTTTGCATGAAAATTGGAAATTAAATACTAGAAATTGATTTCTCCAGTTAACATTTATCAACCACACCTGATGTAATGTTTTTTTTCTTGCGAGTGGTTATGGTTGCATTTTCTTTGACCGTTTCTCCTTTATCATGATTCACAAACTTCACTACAACATGTAAAACAGAAGTTACTGCACATTTTTCTATGACCAAGGTTGTATTCTTATGCCTGTTATATGAATGATGCAGGAGTTAGAAAAGTCCAAGCCTGTCATTCTGACTGGTGATCTGAACTGTGCTCATGAGGAGATAGATATTTATGACCCTGCTGTAAGTAATCCAGCTATGACTTGTGAGTTATTAATGTATCATCTTAATGTTTATCTAGCTAATAATCAAACAAAGCGGGAAATAGTGAATTTTTTAATATGTGAAGTAATTTTTTTACTTTCTAGATGCACCTAATTTAGATGTACCCAAAAAGTAAAATATTTGTGAAAAAAATATTTAAAAAATTCAATAAATTTAAATACACAAGAATACGGAAATATATTGAATTTTTGTAATTATTTTTGTAATTCTTTTATTTTTTTGTATTTGATGAATTTTTAATTTTTTTTTATTTATAAATATTATACTTTTTAAGTATATCTAGGTTAGGTGCATCTAAAAAATAAAAAAATTCTTAAAATATTTTAAAAAGTTTACTAAAAATAAATGGAAAATAAAAAACTCAAATTTATGAAAAGTGGGGATAACCAAACAATTTCATGTTGACTGCAAAAAAGAAAAGAAATGTTGAGTTGTGATTGGAATATGATTAACTACATTTATCTTAGTCATATTATTAACCTTAAGTCCCTATCTTTTTGCTTCAGTTATGAATGAGTTGCCGAGAAATATTCAAGATGACGTGCTATGGTGTATACTTTTTGTAGACGATATCGTGCTAGTGGATGAGACTAGAGGAGTTAACACAAAGTTGGAAATTTGGAGAAAAGCACATGAATCTAAAGGATTTCGGATAAACAGAACTAAGACAGAGTACATGGAGTATAAATTTAGTAACAGTAACAATAAAAGCAGACGAGAAGTGAAGATTGAGAACCAAAAACTGCTTAAGAGTGAAAATTTTCGTTATTTAAGGTCGATTATCACAACAGTAGGGGAGATTGATGTGAATGTGGCCCATAGGATTAAGACGGGATGGTGTAAGTGGAGAAGCGCATCTGGGATATTGTGCGATAAACGAATACCCACTAGACTAAAATGTAAGTTCTATAGAACGGCTATTAGACCAGTGATATTGTATGGGACAGAGTGTTGGGCAACTAAGAAACAACATGTAGATAAGATAAGTGTGGCTGAGATGAGGATGCTAAGGTGGATGTTTGACAAGACTAGACAAGACAGAATTAGGAATGAGTGTATTCGGGAATGGGTAGGAGTAACACCTATAAAACATAAGTTGAGAGAGAATCGATTGAGATGGTTTGGTCATATTCAACGGAGATCAACAGAGGCAGTAGTGAAGATATACAATATAGTGACGGTAAATGGAAGTGTTAGGGGACTGGGTAGGTCTAGATTAACGTTGACTAGTGTTGTAAATAGAGATATAGATCTACTTAATTTGACTAATGAAATGGCCTTTGATAAAGCCGCGTAGAGAAGAAGGATTCATATAGCCGACCCCATTTGATAGGACTTAAGGCTTGGCTTGGCTTGGTTTCTTTGTGTAGCTATGCACTAAATGGATCATGCTGTTATTTTCTTATATATATACACATATATATATATATATATATTACCAAAGATGTTTAATGAAGCTAAATTTGCATGCTCACGAGACACACATAAATGCATCTCTCATATTGAGAGACAACGGCTTCTAGTTGCAATATGCTTTCAATACATCTCTATATACTTTTCACATATTTCAATACACTTTTTACTCATATACCAACATTATTGACTACATAATGGGCGGTGGTTAGCATTTCCCATTGTAATACACTCGAATTGCAATTGCCTTCTTTACATTTAACTAGTAATAAAGTCACATAGGGTCAAACAGCTCTGAGAGTCGACTATACCATCCCTTGCAACCTTGCAAGTGGGTTGTGTTCAAGTTTGACCTAGCCATCTCCGCAAGGCAAAGTTTTCTTTGTAGCTTCAATATTTCTTTTGGATTTTAGATCTTTTCCATGAGTAGGTTGTATCTTTTATTTGATCTATTTTGGTTTTACATGATTCAAAAATTTCCTCAATCGTTCTTATGCACTCAATCTTATGTTAGGGCGTTAATGTTAAGTTACCAATTTTCCTAAAAGCCTAAGCTCTTAGGAAATGAGTCCAACAATGTATATCGAGATATCTAATACTCTCCTTCACGGGCAATTTTGTCTTGCAATTAGTTGCACGAAGCGAAAGCGGGAGTGTGGAATCGTGACCCCTAAGAGAGTCGTAGGTTGGGAGCGTTTATATATGCAAAAAGTATTAAACTTCTTGCTTATCAAAATAGTGTCGAACTTTCTGCCAAATATTCTTTGTTCCCCAGATTATAAATGCTATTGATCACCATGCCCTCCTTCACAATCTACAAAAGGTTCCACCTCTTTAGTGTCCTTACTGTCAAATATTGCTCTCATCTCTTGTAACCTAGGTGGCATGGACGCGCCTACGAAGTTGTGTTTGTGTCTGAGAGATTAGGAAACACAGGTGCGGGTAAGGGTAATGCCGATATGGAAAGACCTAAAAAAAATACAATTTGGGTATGGTCGGGGTATAGCCATAATTTTTTTCAAAAAATAATTTGTTACATGATATATTATGTTGAAATTCAATGTATAAAGAGAATTGTATTATTGATTGTTGTATTGATATTGTATTGATATCTGTTACAATGATTCATGATTCCTATATATAGAAGAGGGTGAGTGTGTAGTAGGTAAGGAGTAGGTGAAGTGGAGGTGGTAGTGGTGTAGTGGGTTAGGTTTAGTGGAGTAGGTGAGGTGGTAGTGGTGTAGTGGGTTAGGTTTAGTGGATTAGGTTTAAGTGGGGAAGTAGGTGATAGGTTAAGTGGGGAAGTAGGTGATAGGTTTTAACAGCCCCCCGCAAACTCAAGGGGGATAGGAACTAGCCAACTTGAGTTTGGAGAGAGTAACAAAACAAGAAAATAGACGAATACATAAAAGAAAAGAGGATAGGAGACACTGTATGGTCGTGTCAGACCGATGGTGAAGACACTGTATGGTGGTGTCATAACGGTGTAGAGGACACTGGATGGCGGTGTCAGACCGATGTAGAAGACAGTTTATGGGGTCATGTCGGACCGATGTAGAAGACAGTTTACGGGGTCATGTCGGACCGTTGTAACAGACACTGTTGTGACAGTTGTTGTGACAGTTTACGGAGTCTTGTTGGACCCTTGTAGAAACTAACCGGAATCAATGTCGGGACAGTTTACAGAGTCTTGTCGGACCCTTGGAAAAGCTAACCGGAATCAAATGTCGGGACAGTGTACAGAGTCTTGTCGGACCCCTAAAAAGTCGCACCCTCAAAAGGTGTGCCCAATCTGTCAAAAGGCGTGCCATCAAAAGACGTGCCCAATCCATAAAAAGGTGTGCCATCAAAAGGCGTGCCCAATCCATAAAAAGGCGTACCATCAAAAGGTGCGCCATAAAAAGGCGTGCCATCAAAAGGTGCGCCAGACACGCGGCGATTCACGTGATCGACAGAACGCGTGTCGGCCTCTTTGTCATGGTCTTTATAAACTGAAGCGGAGGCTGAGGCTTGGAAGCAGAGACAAAAAACTGCTAGAAAAAAACTCTGAAAAACTCTTCGGTTTCTGAGAGAGATTTCTGAGAGAGATACTCTGTAACACTCTATTGTCTCTGTTTTCTGAGAGAGATTTCTGAAAGAGATACTCTGTAACACTCTGTTGTCTCTGTTTTCTGAGAGAGATACTCTGTAACACTCTGTTTTCTGAGAGAGATTTCTGAGAGAGACACTCTGTAACACTCTGTTGTCCAGAAAATGGCTTCGTCTTCCCGTGGTTTGCTCACTCTCTTTCCAGACCTTAACGAGTCAACAAGAGAGATAACTGGTGCGGGGGCCAGTGAACCTCAACCAAGCGCCCCAGGGTTTGCTCCGTTGAACTTTCTTATGCGGTCTGTGGAGCAAAAAATGGCAGTGCAAACTGACATTGAAGCCAATCAGTATACTTTGAAGTTCTGTGTGGAGACGATGACGGCAGTCACAAACTTGTCGCACCGGCTGCAAAGTAGGACAAATGAGGTGCAGCATTTAAACGCCCAACTGGCTCTGCTCCAACGCATGTATAAGGATGCGCGAGCAGAGATAAGTGTGCTGAAGGCGGAAAACAAGGAGCTGAAGCGGAAGGCTACCGTGATGTTCCGATTTGGAGGTCCACCATATGCTGTAGTGGAGGAGCAGGGTGGAGTGAACGTGCTCGGTGGAGTGGGTAGTATGGAGGCAGCGCCGGTAAGGGACACCCAAGAGAAAAGCAAGAAGAAGAGACCTGCAGCAGAGTAGAGAAGAAAAATCCCACTGTGGGTGCGGGTGTGTTGTGGTGGTTTGTTTGTTTGTTGGTTTTTCTTCTTTTTTTTTTTTTTTTTTTTTTTTTTTTTGTTTGGAAGAAAAATAATAATAAAATATGAATGGAAAACATTTGTTTTTTTTTTTTTTTTGTGGAATAATAATAATAATAATAATAATAATAATAATATATGAATGTAGAAAGTATATGCGCTGGTGGGAGTTGCTTAGAAAAGAGATAAAGAAGTTGTGATAAAGAAAAGAATGGGGTAGAATATGATGAGGGGAAAAATAATGATGATAAAATATGAGGAAGAGGTTAAAATAAAATAAAATAAGATAAAATAAGGCTTTGATGGGCGGTGGGATCAGACAGCTGTGTTATTTGAAAGATAAAATATAGTGGATGAAAAGATTAAAATAAAAAGAAAGGAAAGAGAGGGTTAAAAGTGAGAGAGAGTGAGAGAGAGTGAGAGAGAGAGAATGGGTTGAGAGAGCAGCCTGCATAGGGATGGTTTTACCAGTCAAGGTCTTGACGAAGATCTGCAGACCACCCCTCAGACGGAGCACCAAGTGGAGGGTCGACTCCTTTTGGATGTTGTAATCGGCGAGGGTACGGCCGTCCTCGAGTTGCTTTCCGGCGAAGATCAAGCGCTATTGATCCGGCGGAACACCTTCCTTGTCTTGGATCTGCGCCTCATGTGAGTGTTTGGATGATCGGAAAACCCAGAAACAGACCAAGGAGAGGAAGGAGAAGAAGAAGGGTTCATGTGAAACCCATTGTTGGGAATGAGGATTCTTGGCGAAGATTGAAGAAATGGGTTGGATCTGTTATTGTTGTTGGGGTTAGACATGGGATTGAAGGGAGAAGGAGAGGAGGGTGTTGAGGGTGTAGACGAAGTGTTCGACGAAAGTCCCAACCGAGGTTTGGCTTGGCTGATGAGGGATAACAAGAGGGTCTCAGGTCCACAGGCTAAGCCAATCATCTCCTTCTCACCAGGTTCTTGAATGAAGATGTAACCCATGATCTTTGAAGCGTTTTCTGGATCTAAACTCCGGCAACAACTACCACCACTGCCGCCGGAGAGAGGGAAGCTATTGGTGAGTGGTGAAGAAGAGTGAAGGTATGTGTTGAAAAAACTCCCGCGGGCAGCGAAGGCAAGGTTGCCGGCCGGCTGCCCGCCGGAAAGAAAGGAGTATAGGCCTAAATCTTATAGCTCTGATACCATGTAAAACATATTGATAGAGATAAATTGTATGTATTATTGATTGATATCTAATAATACTGTCTATTACAAATGGTTCCTTATATAGATGTAGGTGTAGTGGAGTAGGTGGTGGTAAGTGAGGAGTAGGTGAGTGTAGTAGGTGAGTGTGTGGTAGGTGATGGTAAGTGTGTGGTAGGTGATGGTAAATTTTAACAATATTATATAAAAAATATATATATTTTTTAAATAATATATATAAATATATTGTGAGATATAATTTTTTTTTCTCCAATTAATATTTGAAATATATTATAACTATCATAAATTCTTATAAATTGTTTTTATTTTTTGTTTTTAGATTTTATTTAGAATTAAAATCTATTTATTTTTTAGATATATTTTTTGTATTTGAATTTGTAGAGCAAACAACCTAAAAGCCCATTTTTTTCGATGATTATACAAACCATCTAGTAGCCCAAACACTAAATAAAACAGCCCACAAATCCAAATAAATGTTTGTCTGGGTCTAATAAAAAATCCCAAGCTCAAATTATTTAAAAATCCCAATCCCAATCCCAATCCCAATCCCAAGCCCATTAGGGTTTAGCATACAAATCAAGTCAGTCAAACGCTCTCTTCTCTTCTCTCCTATTGACTGCAACACAAAACAATGATGGAGACTCTCTCTCTCTTCTCTTCTTTTTTCTCACAAACGCACATCACAATCGAAAGAGAGAGAGAAGGAGATCGAGACAGAGAGATCGAGAGAGAAGGAAATCAAAACAGAGAAAGAGATAAGGAGATTGAAACAGAGAAGGAGATCGAGATAGAGATTGCGAGAGCGAAGAAGATCAAGAGATAGAGAGATCGAAAGCTCGAGATCACGTTTCTCTAGCATTAGAAGCATGATTCTTATGTGATTCTTCCTCAGAAGTGCAAAATCGCGCTTTTTCCTCAGAAACATGAGCCCCTTCCACAATTCTTGCTACTAAGGTCTTGCAAATGGGGAGACAAACAGAGAAGCAAACAGAAGGAGAAGCAAACAACCAAACAGAAAGGAAGAAACCAAACGGGGACATAAACGGAGAGACTTGAACCCAAGACCTCTCTAAACCAAAGCTTTGATACCATGTTAAGTTACCAATTTTCTCAAAAGCCCAAGCTTTTAGGAAGTAGGCCAACAATGTATATCAAGTTATCTAACAAATTTTGTGTGTTTCATGGCGAAGAGCTTCGTGGAGCATGCCACTTTTAGCAATACAGAATAGAGTGTTTAGCCAAAATTTTCCTCAATCCTTCTCATGCAGTCAATCCTATGCTGGGGTGTTAAAAGAGTGTGTTTCATGGAAAAAGAGCTCTTTGGACAATGCCACTCTTAGCAATATATAGAAAGAGGTGTTTAGCTATTGACAATTAAGAATTTGGTATAGGTGGTAACTGTGTATAGGTTTGGTTTGATAAAATCGTGTTTTGAATTTTTTCTTAGCAAAGGCAAATAGATGTTATTGAAAGGAGAGAATTTGGCTCAGAGGCCCAGAAATCTGAGTTTGCTGCAAGCACATGAAGTGACAAGGAAATTTTACTTCCAACTCATAAGGGACTGTACATTAAGGGCAAATTTGGGTGAACTCAAGGGCCTTGCCATTAAGTAACCGAAGAATGTTTAAAGAACAAGCATCGAAGTCCTAATTGCAAAATAGAAAAGATTGCAACAGTATTTGAAGTGCCCTTGGCTTCAGTTTTGTGGTGGACAGTTAGAGTTGTCTATGTAGTTTAGTTAATCAACCGCTGTGATATGGAATATTTCCAGATCAGTTTTTTTTTTTTTTCCTTTCTTTTTTTTTTCAAATTTTTTTTTTCTTTCCAAACTTGAATATGTACTTGAATTTGATAGTTATTTCTCTTGGTTATTTTTCATTGTCATAGTCTAATTGCTTTTAATTGTTTGAATTTGAATGTTAAGTGCTGGTTTTACAAATGAAGAAAGACAATCATTCAAGGAAAATTTCTTATCTAAAGGTTTTGTGGATACCTTTAGAGAGCAGCATCCTGGTGTTGTTGGCTATACGTACTGGGGTTACAGGCATGGTGGACGCAAAAACAATAGAGGTATTTTTCAAACTGCACTCCTTGAAATGACATTTTCTGTTTTGGATGAGTATGCATTGATATATATATATATTGTTGTGACAATTTTGTATTTTTCTATATGTGAGTACTTTTTGTAGATGTCATTGTACACTTGCAATATTAGTAAGCCTTGGTCATGGGCCTAACTCTGAATACGAAGCTATTTGTTTGAAATGTAATATATCTGAGTGGGGAAGATGTTATATCTGCAAGGGCATATCTTTTCTTATGATGTCAAAGGGATTCCCTTTAGAAATCCACTACTTGTCCTTTGGAGTGCACTTGAATCATAACTGGATAACTGTGCTCTAAGAGATCTTATAGAGATGGCTCACATGGAGAAATTCCTTTGCTTTCGCCATGGGGATAAGGTGATTTATGTATGTTGAATTATTGGTGGCCCTCTAAATTGAGGAGCACAAAATCTTGTAACTCTCTAATATCTTTATGGAATGCAACTAAGAATGATAAAGTGGGACTTTATAGGGTTGGAGGGGATTGTGGGTACGGTCAGTGGTGGAGCCAGGACTCCATGATTGGGGAGGCCAAAGTGATAGAGCCAAATCAAGAAATGGATTTCATTAGAGAGAGAAAATATCCAAACAGAGATACAAGAGCTTGAAAATATAATCTCAAAATATGATAAATTGAATACTAAAAGGACCTTTTTTACACCAGAAATTTATTGAGCGAGTTCAAGCAATCAAATCAGGACAGGTTAAAAAAACTTAAATAATTATTAAAATCAATAATTACTGGTAGAGATGAATTAATTAATAATGAGAACACTGTAAATGTGTTCCAAGATCTTGAACTTCAATGACTCACCACTATAAATGCAAATTAAAAGCTGTATCACATAATTCACCTAGTACATAAGTGATAATGAATTACATATTGCACGATGTCCACAGATTTTTGAAGTTGTCTTATACTAATAAGTGAGAGAGAAATAGTTAAATGAAGGGAAAAATTATAATACTCACTCTTAAAGATACATATCTTACCTACATAACTACATCACAATTATTTGTGAAAAAACTATAATGGTTCATAAACTTTTCTCACCACAATAGTTTGTAACATTTTAATGTTTATAATACAACCACAATGGTTCGTAACTAAGTTTTTTCTTATGGTGTGTCCCTTCATAACATAACTACTATGATTCATTACAAACACCACAAACAATAAGAACCCTTCTTATGGTAAGGGAGTGTGTACCATAGGTTTTCCTTAAGTAAAATAGGAAATGACTAAAGAGAGAGAAAAAAAAAAAGGGAGACAAATCAGAGTAAAAAGAAGAAAAGAGTTGTCTGTCAACTGCATGAGGAAAGATGAAAAGAAAAATAATGAGTTATTTTAGGGGGGAAAAAAAAACACTTTTGAAGGGACTTTTTGTGTATTTAAACATAGAAGAAATGTGTGTGTGTGGCGGGGAAG